CTTTGGCGAAAGTTTAGGGTTACTAATTAGGGGTTTAGGGGTTTAGGGGATTATGGTGGGATCACGGTCTATCGGGAAATCTGGCCACCTGAAGTTGTCGACAAAGCTGGGCGGCGAAGCATAATATAGTATCTATCTGTCTATCTGTCTATATCTACCTATCTATTTATCTATCTATCTATATATCTATATATTCATGTAGATCTAGGTTTAGATCTAGATCTATATCATATCTAGATCTATCTATATATCTCTCTATATATATATATATATTATCTTTAAATATCTACATCTATATCTATATCTGTCTATCTACTTCGATTCTCTCTCCTATCTATATATATATATATAGATATTATCATATATATATATATATAATTTCCCATAATCTATAGAATCCTGGTTTCAAGTCGGACTTAAGCACAAGAACCTCCCAGGAACGGCGTTTGAAGCAAGACCGCAACTATTAAGGCTTTACGACGCCCAGGGCTTGATAACTAGAATAGGGCCTTCGGGGATTGTTTACTATGGCTATAATGAGGAACTCCCAAAAATAGCATAGGTAATCACTGAGCCCCCCCCATATTCTAGTATCATCGTTGGGGCCTGAAGTCACTCAGATCTATGTCTAGTGTTGAGCAACGTGGTTGAAGTATGTTTAGTTGGGGATTGGGCTTAGGGTTTAGGGTGTGGTTGAAACAGTGAAGTACATGCAGGAAATGCCTACATCCATCTTTAGGCCGTAGTACGAAGTCGATGAATTTCAGAAACTTCGAAATCAATACCTATCTGTAGTGGTTTAACCAACTTTATATTTAGGATCCTATAGGGTAACCCCAAAGAGGAGCTACAATGGAGGCTATAGGTATAGGATAAACGTCGCCCAGTGTGAAGTTGCGATCTCCAGAAGCAGCGAACAACAAGTGGGCACAGTACGGTAGGGGCCTTAACATACCCTGACCCCCCAGTTACCTACTATATAGGGTACTAGAGCCCCTAAGGCCCTATATAGTAGGTACCTGGGGGGTTAGGGATAGTTAGAATCTGGAGCTCCTTGAGAGTATCATTATAATCTAACGAATAATATTGGTAATTTAGGACCCTACATTAGCAACCCGCATGTGTCCGTGCCGCAACCCTCAACCCTAAACCGTGCGGAAGACATCACAAGCTCCAGACCCTTTGGGATTTGGCGCTCTCGGAACCCAGCACGCGGAACACCAACTCAGACTTGTGACCTGGAGCCCAACTAGTAAAGTGAAGACCTGCACAATCCTGCAGACGCAAACGGGAATCTGTAAACAAACTTGTGCCAACTAAACCCTAAAGCCTAAAAACTAAACCCTAAACCCTAAACCTTTCATCGCCAACCAAAACGTCACCGCACCAAACCGCTAAGCCCGAATCAACGAAAATCAGATACACAACACTAGATCCCAAATGCCATACCCTAACACCGCCAAGAGCTAAACTGATGAAGACGCGCCACACCGAAAGCCCTAGCCCAAAATATAGGGGCCTGAATAATTACCGATGCTATTTTGGGACTTCCTTATTATAAATGAAACCTAACATACCCCCAAGACCTGATCATAGATCCCTTATAGAACCCTCTAAAGATCCCTTTAAAGGAACACCTATTCTAATTATTGCGGCCCCTATATACAATCCTATCACAGATCCCTTATAGAACCCTTTAAGGATCCCTTTAAAGGAACCCCTATTCTAATTATTACGGCCCCCTACATTGAACGAACCCTGAGCCTGCCTGGAAGACTCCGTTGATCTGCTTGTGGTGGGCCCGGGAAGTGTTCGAAAGCTGCGCAGCGGCAGCTTCGGTTTGGAGCTGAAAGGACTGATACGCTATAGGGCTATTGGTTTAGGGGGTTGGGGTTTAGGGTTTGGGGTTTAGGGTTTGGGGGCTAGGGTTTAAGATTTAGGTACCCTTAAAAGACTTATATGCTATAGGTTTAGGGTTTAGGGCTTCAGGTTTAGAGGTTTAGAGGTTTAGGGTTTAGGGTTTAGGGTTTCGGGATGCTATAATGTAGGGGCCTTTATAATTAGAATAGGGTTTTGGATAATTATAGTAAGGAACCCCAAAATTATGTGGGTAATCATTCAGGCCAATACGTTAGGTTTCAGGTTTGGGGTTTAGGTACCCTTTTGAGGGCTAAGAAGGGTTACTATTCGGATTCTATACGGGTTCCATCAGTGAATCAGGGCTTTGGGGTGTCGGGTTTAAGGCTCCATGTGCCCATATAGTATATACTTAGTCCTTAAACGTGTCCCTATGCAGACAAGCTTAGTAAGTCCACCGGTTCTCTTCCGATCTGATGATTACGCAAAACAGCCCTCAACAAACCAACCTTGCGTGTTCCTGGGTGGAGGCCAATACCTGGCTGTTGAGAGTTTAAGGTGTCGGAGCCTTTCAAGGTTTACTGTAACCCCTGATAACCTTTCTTTAAGGTCTCATAACATTTGAGGTCTTATATCAGGAACTCATAGTAAGGAATTCTGTCTGCTATGTTGCAGGGTCTGGAGTTTGCAAACAAGCAGCGCATCCGAGGAAGTTCTAGTCACCCAACTCCAACCTAAGTTAGGTTAGCATAAGAACGGAACCAGATTGGTAAAGGTAGCCCCCTATTAAATTAAGCTCAGGTCCTTAACAAGAACCTCAACTCCAAACCACAAAGACAAAAACACCTGAACCATATGGCTGCCAGACAAATCCTCAACTCCCAGGCCGTAAACCCTATGCATCTAAGGGCTTTAGGAGGGACCCTTAATAGGTACCCTTGTAGGCTATTACCTGGCTATATAAGGGGTATATAATGACTATACAACAATGGATATTTAAGGTAATGGGA